TTAGCTAAGTCTATTTTGTACGTTGAGTTATTCCCTGCCGTATTGATTGTGACAGCAATGAGGCCCCATTGTGCAATAACTCTATCTGTATTTCTACTGACAGCGAGTACAGCACCAACTCTGTGAGCTGCGCCTTCTGTTGCATTGTCTATGCCATAGAAGTGATAATTCCAGCAGTCACAACGTTTGTTTCAAGCCTGTGCGCGCCTTTTATTGTAGATGCCTGTATTATCATCCGATTCAGTTTTTTCATAGCCAAAGCAATCTGCCCGGACCTGTTTAACCTTGTCATATTCCACGTGAGCTTGTGTGTCTACAATTTAGTACTGAAACGCATATCTACCGTTCTGAGATTTTCAAGATTAATTCCAATAGCTAGCGAGATTTTTGAGTTCGTTAGCAACATAGTTTTGTCCATATCATAAATATCGTACAGCTTATTTTATCAAAGATAATTTCGCGCAGGGCGTGATTGTTCTGAGACAGATTCATCTGATTCTCGTTAGCCATCTGTTTTCTGGCCAATGGCCGGCTTTCTCAACAACTGGCTAGGAAGATTGCATTCCACTGCACTTCGCTGTGCAAAGCACCTTTTAGATTTGACTTTGGCCGACGACTGGAACAGAAGGTTGAACTATAAAATCGAACATCGACTTCTATTTAAGAGATTCCTTATTATAGACATATACCATTTCTTTGCGCATGTTTCGATACCATATGAACGTGTCTATAACAGATAGTTTATTTACACATAAGTGCGACAATTTCATCGCGATATAACTAATATATTTACAGGGCATTTTCAGATTGCGCATTTCCACTTGCATTATCTGCTCTGACATGCGCATTGAAGTCGCTGTCAGAATAGTAAATTTCGCAGCGAGTACACAACGTTTTTTCCTTAGGGAATGATCACATTCCCCATCAGATCTGGCTGCATGGACCTGTAACAAAGCCCACTCTCTCGCCAACTGAACCTCAGGAATGCCACTTAGCTGATCACAGGGCTCCATTGAATACCTTTTGTGCCATGTTAGTTCTACAAGAAGGCTGATATCTGGCTGAGTATGGTCATGGAATTAAAATCAAAGTAGAGAAACTTTCAGCCACTGACATTTAGAATTTATAACCGTAGCGTATCTTCGACGCAAATCAAATATTTCAAGATTTAGTACCTGCGGATCTGTATATACTTACTGCTGAAATACTCTGCTAATTACTTTGTAAATTTTTGAATCTATTATCGAACTTCGGTTTTGTTTCTTTATTAGTATTATTATGTTACCTTGATAGTAGGTTCGGACAATAGTCCATTTTGACAGTTTATAATATTGCTTTTATAAAGTTATGAGTGATTTTTTTGAGTATGTGCTCATGGCTACTTTGATAGTACTTTAGCGTGTTATCGAGAAACGCAGCTGGCGAATTTTTGCCAAGAAAGTTTTATGTGCTCTTATTAGGCGTATTATGAGTTTTATGCAGTTGTAGCTCTCTTACATATGTTTTTCCAGTGGGTAGTATTGATTGTTTTCTTTACTGATGTATTGAAATGCTGACGATAATAAGAATTTGATTTACAGAAAGCATTTCGCCGCATAATGTATATCTCTAGCGGTTGAGAGACACTTGTTCCTGTTTTGGAAATGTCGCTAAAAGTGTTTGTCCGTCTTTGCTGATGAGGAAGAAAGTGTTTCAGCTGCTATAATGAATTGCGGATAAGATATGTCTTGTTTTAGGATTTGGTTTAAATGTAGAATCAAGATCGCTGAACATTTGGAGTGCGGTCTGCTTGTTTTAAGTGTTGTTTCCGTCAGTCGTATCTACTAGCTTTACATGGGTGTACTAAAACGGACACCAGTGCTGTGACAATCAATATTTTGTCGACAGAGATAGTAGGAGTCGAGTTTATTGTTGTTATCATTATTTGAGGTGTCATGGTAAATGTCTGACGACCCGGATTAATGGTTACGTTTTGGTTTCTCAGAATGATTTTGTGTCTCAGCGGATGTTTTGCTCATTGCTTGGCGGTTGTTCATGTTCAGACGTAGTGGCCACGTGGAGCTGCTTAATCAGCATTTATTCTACTGTGGTGCCCTAGTAGATCGAGCTATTTGTATTTTTCGCTTGACTAAGGTCTTATGACAGGGTTCGTAGCAACCGTTTTCTTTTCAAATTTTCACCTAATTATAAGTTAAATCATAACTATATTTAATCTTTTATGGTAAACCTGATTTATCATCCTTATTACAAATAACTAAGAGGATAGTCATCACTGTTTGTTAAGAAATTTCCATCTCAGCTAATGATCTGTCGTATCTGTTTCATAGTAAATACTGATGTCTGACTCTTGCAGTTTTTTACATAAACAGTGTAATCACACAATACACGAGCCACATTAATTTACGCGTTTTGCATTTCCTGCGTACTACACAAGGAGACGGCAAAATGCGACTCTGAAGTCAAACTTTAATTGTAGCTTGTACTATAAATAATAATACTCTTGCCCTTTAATTCTGGGTTTACTATATATTCTTCCATTCGTTTGCGTTTGTTGTTTTTAATGAAGAATGAACAAAACTCTACCACGACGATAACATCCGCGGATTCTGATGCATTCGTTTTTGGACTTGTGTCTTCGTATATTATGTATGCAATACTCTTTTAACTTCTGTGAAAACTTCTGTTCGAAGACACTTAATTTTACGCCTGTTTTCGGTTCTATAGATGCTTCCTAGCGTTAATGATGTTATCAACCATTGTCTCGTGATATTTATACTGACATCACTTGTTTTTATTTTATGTATGGTCAGATTCAGTAATGAATTAATATTGTTGGTGACGGTCATATGGAGTAGCGCAAACTTGCCAGTTCTTCTTGCCGCGGGTATATGTCATGCAAGAGGTAATTCCTCGGAGTACCTCAAGCATTAAATGCTTCGGTAAGACCAAGATTGGAAAGTCGGTAAAACGTCAAACTCAAAACCAATTGGTACCGAGTTCAAGCCCTGGTCAG